TTTTTCTGAACTTAGCAATGGTGATTCTCAAATGACAGAAGCAGTTGGTCACTCAATGGCCTTTCCATTTTAGAAGAAAGCAGCAGAGCTTGTGTTGTACTGATGGAGTCTTAGAGAAACAAAAGTCCTTTCTACACTATGATCAGCAATCAGAATAGAACTAACTTCAGTGGAGCAAAAGATGTAAATATACACATTTGATTTTTATCTGCAGAGTTGGCCTTTCACAGATTTTCCAAAGCATTTTTCTTTGACTAAATTCTTTACATAACTTAGATAGTGTTTGGATGAAGTTCTGGTGATGACTGATGTTACTCCTTGTTTGAAAAGGTATTATAAAAATTCACAAAACCTGAGAAATGTAATTCTGTTCTATCATTTCATTTGGATGAGGACACCATAGAATTTAAAGCCTTAAGGGATTTTTAATATAATCTACTAAATTTACAGACTAGGAAATAGGCCCCGAGAGGATAAATTATTTGACTAAGTTCACACAGTTACCAAGTAGCAGAGATAGCTCTTTTTCTTTTAAATCTAGGGCTCCTTGCTATTCTCATGCTGCCTCTCAATGTTATGTGCAATCTCCTTTGCAAAGTGAATTAATTTCCATTGTAGCATGAAGTAAAAGAACTCTTTTAATTTTGTTTCTTTTTTCAGTACCAGGTATTGCCAACTCACATACAGGAACATTAACTTAGGAATTTTTTTGGTGGGTTCATTTTACTTTCTGTCCTACCATTCTCATCTCCATGAGTATGTGTACATGTCATTGTTTGACTCCTTTTAACTAATACACATTAATCTCATGGGGACAACGGAACTTTTTTTTCAAAGTAATAAGAGATCAAATGGCGTTTATACCTTATTTTTCTCCTTCAGACTATAGATTGGTAAGTCCATTTGATTGTCATCATTTCTATGTATACTTATACTAGTTACTTTTCAGCCATCTTCTTTATGTAAAAATCATTGCCTATATGGAACAGTCACGAGGGCCTCCTTTATGAAAGTCTCATATAGGAGGAATCTTTGAAGCACTAAAACAGATTATTTGAACCTCAAAGGAAATTATGTCTGCCAAGTTATAGGCTCCCCAACAGGGTGAATGCTCAGAAAGTTGCATTTTATTACTGAATAAAGCATATTGGAACAGAAAAAAATCATTTTAGACAGCACAATTGACTGTAGTATGGTAGACAAAGATTTTTTCATAGCCCCATAATAAAGCAGTGCTATTTAGGATTTAATTTAATAAATATCGAGTTCCCTGTTTTCTCCTGCCAGCTCACTTTATTTTTTTATACGTTGTATTATTATAAAGAGAGAATTACCTGTGCTTAATAGAACAATACAGTGCCATACCTTTGTATGGTAGAGGAGGAGGATATTCATTCTACATAGTGAACAACGTTTTCCATAAACATTAACTATTGATCAATTAATTGAATCATGAATACAACTGGATTGCATATTTGTTTACCAAAAATACCATGCTCTCTACAGATTAGAAAAAGCACAATTTCTTATATTAGGGTCATACAAGATGAGTAAGTTGAAGCTCATTATCTTTAAGAGCCAATAAGAGAAAAGTCTTTATATCTGTCACTTGAATCATCAGGAAATAAGAAAGATGCAAACTTCCTGAGCTGGTGGCAAGAAGAGCATGTAGCAGGTATGGGAGAAATATAGTGAAGGGGGAATCTTGGCAAATGATACCACTAAGTGTGGGGGAGGGCATCTGTCTCTTCAGCTAATATAAGCAGAAATAAACAGAATTTCTCTCCACAGGCCAATGGGCAGAACAGTGCAAGCTTGGCTAGAAAATGATCAACAATATAAATGCACTTGGCTATAGAGCAAGAAATCTATGTGACAGCACAGAGATCTCAAAGTGAGCTTATAGTTATCATTATTTTAATTAGAGTGAGACCAGTGGGCTTGACATTGATCCCTGGAAAAATTATAGAATGAATTATTAAAGTGATAGTTCATTAATGCTTCTAAAAGGAAGTGGTGATAATTAGGAACTAGGACACATTCACTAAAAATAAAGAAGGCATGCCAAGCTAACCTTATTTCCTGTTTTGATAGAACAACTAGAATGGCATCCCAGGAAATATAGACATATTATATCTGTTTCATCAAGTCATTTGACAAAGTCTTTGTAGATAAGATAGCTAGTTGAGTGACCATTCCACAAAAAAATACTTTGTATATAGTAAGAATTTATAAATGTTAAATTGATCAAATGCTGTATTGTCTAATACGTAAATGCCATGATGTGACATAGAGCACTTTCTGCAGCCCTGGCCTATTCAAAATCATTGCTAGTGATGACATATTAAGGTGCTATGACCACTGATCAACAGATGTAATTTAAGACCTTACTGAAGATAATAAGAGTACTTGGAAGTATTGTTATGAAAGCTGAAAACTGAAAGGTCACATTGAGCTTTAAAATGGAGAGCCAGAGGCAAGGGGAGAAAAAAAGGAAAGGGATCATAGACTCAATAACCTAAAACAATGGCTGTATATTTGTCCCAGAAGATGAGGAATCGGTGTCCAACGGAAATCTAGAACAGCATGGAAACACAGACTGACAGGGAGGTATAGACACAGGAGAGGAGTTGTAGATGGGTCATTACCTAAGGCAGAAACCCACAAGAGAGGAGAGAGAATTCCTTTAATGTTGATAAGTTCAGATGCAAGTACTTGGTGTTTCTGTAAGTCCTCTAGCTGCTGTTTTATAAATAAAAGTTTTGTTAATCTGTGTACTTCCTTGGGGACTGAGGTCTTTGTAAACATCAGCCTAATTCCAATATTTCTAGGGTGGCTGCTTAGATGGGAGGAAAAAACTAGGCAAAAAAATTGTGTGAGTCCAAACCTAATTTATATGAGTTCAGAGTCATGGTTCTGGATTATAAGTTGCAGCGGTGGTGATAGTTGTCCAGAACATCTTAAGTTCTTGGCACCAAATTTCAACAGAGACATTAACGAGCTAGTGTATATAGAGAAAAGCAAAATGGTGGTTAGGGGCTTCAAAATTCTCTTCATACTGAGGGGTGTTTAAAGGAGGTGGCATGTTTATCCTGGAAAAGATCTATAGGAGATATGCCAGATGACTTAAAACCCTAAAGGACTATGCCATGAAAGAAAGGGCAGATATATGCATTGTTCCTATCCACATAGCTCCACATAGCAGAACCAAACCCAGTGGGTGAAGGTGATGGAGAGTCGGATTCTGATTCAATATGAAGGAGAGGCTAACCATTAAAGCTCCTTGAGAATGAAGTGAATATCCCTTTTATTGTAAGCATCCAAGCAATTCAGCACAACAGGCGGTTATTAAGTGCTTACAACATGCAGAACATTGTGCTAATATTTGGGGGGAAGGGTTATGCAAATAATAAATATCCCCTGGTCTCTGCCTTCATAAAGGTATCATAATCTGGATGATTTCCTGCCAGAGAAACTGTAAAGAGTTTCCTGAATGAGCTAAGAGATTGAATTAAGTGATCTCAAAGATACTTTCTAAATACAGCATCCCATGATTCTGTACATTAAATACAGGGCTTAGTTAGTACAGTCTTTCATAGCCTAGAGCCTAGAAAGTAGCCACCAGGAATCTACCTATTAAAAATGGAAAGAGAACACTTTTATCAGTGCAGGGAGCTCCCCACTGAGGAACCTCTCTTATCTCTTGCCTAGACTATTGCAATAGCCTTTTAATTAATGTCTTTGCTTCAAGTCTCTCCCCATTCCAATCTACCCACTACTCAGCTGCTAAAGGGATTTTTTTTAAAGCTGGGTTCTAACCATGCCAACTACTATTCAATAAACTGCAGGAGCCTCCTCTTACCTGCAGGATCAAATACAAAATCCTTTGCTTGAGATTTAAAACTCTTCATTTAAAACCTTTTGCAGTCTTTTATGACTTAACTCCCCTCCATGATCTCTGATCCAGCTATACTGCCCTACGTCCTGTTCCTCATACAGGAATCCATCTCCTTCCTCCATGAGTCTGTTCTGGCTTTTCCTCATGCCTAGAATGCTCTCTTCTCCTATTTCCTTGACTTTTCCCTCAAGACTTAACTCAAATCCCACCTTATACAGCAAGGTTTTTTTCCTTCTTCTCCCATCCCATATCCATCCTTTCCCTCTTATTTTACCTTTCATTTGTAGTTTGTATGTGCATAATTACTTGCATGGTATCTCCCCCATTCAAATGGGAGCTTTTTCTGGGTTTTCTTTGAATCCCAGTTGTTTAACTTAGTAGTGTAGTGCCCGGAAAGTGATTAATAAATGCTTATGGATTGATTGATTGTGCCAATCCTGTGAGATCCCATTTTGCAACTTACAATTTGAAAAAGTTGTCTAGGGGAAGTGAAGGTAAAGTAATTTGCCTAGGATCAGGGCACAGGGATAGGTAAGATTTGAACCCAGGTCTTCCTGATTTCCAGGCTAGGTCTCTGTTGACTTTGCCATGCTGTCTCTCCAATTTACTTATTTTGAAAAAAAAATGTTATTTATTCTTTTTTTTAAATTTAAAATTCTATTACTTCCCAATAACTCTTCCCCTACAAATACAATTCTCTCTTGTCACAAAGAAGTACAAACTTGCCCAATGACAAAGTGTGATGGTATATGTCTCATTCCACATCTGTAGTCTGACACCTCTACTCAGAGGACAGAGAGCTGTCTTTCATTATCATCAGTCCTCTGGAGTCAAGATAGGTCATTATATTGGTCTTCATTTGAATGTCTTTCAGTGCTATTTCATTTACATTATTGTTGACCTGCATATGGTGTCTGTGGCTCTGTTGCTATGGCTTGCAAGTGTGTATAAGAAATCATTAAACAAAAATGCTACTGCTATACAAAAATGCTTCCAACTGCTCACAGCACAGCTGGTTGGAGACCTCAGACTGCTCAGACTGTTTACAGGGTTATCTATACATAGTTACTTAATTTGGAAATATTGTCTTAACTTGTTCTAGAAGCCGATGAGACAAGAAATGGGAATATGAGACTCTGTTGAGAATCAGAAGCAAAACCAATATGAGGAACTAATTCAGTCTGCTGGACTTGGGCCCTTACTTATGTGGAACTCTGTGCCCTGAACATTCTAAGTACACAGGTAACCTTTTAGTCCAGAAGGGTTTCCCAACACAGATTTGCAAAGTACACGTAAGTGACTCTCTGCCTTAACATGTGTCTTTCAATCTACTTACCTGTGAACTTTAAACCAATCTTAAGAAAAGGAGAGGAAAAAAAATTCTCTGTGGTATGATGTTAAAATCTGTTTCCTCCTACATTCTTCTCTGGAATAAATTTATATTTAAAAGCCTAATTTCTGACAACATGGGATATGATGTCCACTTTCTTGAAGTGAAAAGTAAGGTATATTTCAGAACCCGGATTGGAATAGTTTAGATCAGAGGAAGTTGGCTTGGCAGGAGATGTGGGGTTTACATGTCAAGGGGTAAAAAGTATAGCTAAAAGCAAAGAGGGGATGGGGGAGCACTATTGCTAGCTTCTTTCCATAAAGCCTCTAATTCATAAAACTGACTTTGCCTCCATAGCTCAGGGAATGATTTCCAAGAAGTTTGATAGTTTGGGGCATTTGGGAGTCCGAGTATGCCCCACTCCCTTCGTCAGTCTCTTCCCTTTGCTAAGATTCCATGAATTCTCAAGTCCCTGGTCAGGTATGGAAAGGAGGGGTATTAAAAAAAGGGGAAAGGAGGTCTGTCAGAAGAATCAAGAAGCTTGAAGGAGAAGTACTTCAGGAGGGCTGCTAGCAGCCCTCCTAAACTTAGGTACCAGAGTTATGTAAATTTCTCACAGGCCTGATGCAGGTTTAAAGATTAACTTAAGGGTATCGCCATCAAACACAGGGCCAAGAAATGACTTGATATTCCTTGTCCTAGCTCTTCCTGACGCCTCTCGCTTGGGTCTTCTCTCCACCCACACAGCCCGCTTCCTTAGCTCAGCCACAGGTACATCATCTTGCATATGGACTATCGCACTAACCTTCTAATTGGTCTCTCTGCTTCAAATCTCTCCCCACTCCAACACATCCTCTCTTCAGCTGCCAAAGGGATTTTCCTTAAGCTCAGGTCTGACCACGTCATCCATCTGGCTCAATAAAATCCATTGGATCCATTTACTTCAGAATCCATCATAGAATGTGTTTAGCATTCACAATCTGGTCAGTTCCTGTCTTCCCAATCTTCACATATTCTCTTCCTTTCCATGCACTTTTTGATCCAGATACAATGACCTATTCAAGAGATGTTACTCTCACAGGACATTCCAGATCAGTCTGTCTCTTTGCACTGGCTATTCCCAATGTCTGCAATGCTCTCCCTTCCAACCTCTGATTCTTAGAATCTCTATTTTCCTTTAAGACTCAGCTCAAGTTCCATATCCTACAGAAAACCTTTCCTAATATATGGAGGCAGAGCTGTCGCTCATGTGTGACAAACGGGACTTTCCCCCAGGATACAAAAATCCAGGGGCCATGGTTTTTTCATGCTATGGCTGCTTTCCTCAGGTCAATTCTAGCATTCCTCTTCAATATATGTTACAATATGTGGCACAACCTCCAGATTACCATCCAAATGGTCACCTTTCCTACAAAATCTAACAGGAATGAAAGCTGGACTTTGCCTTAGAGCTGCTCCTTCTGTGGTCAGGATGTTCATTGGTATGGTAGCCTTCCACATCACCAACTGTTCTCTACAACATACCCTCCCACCCTAATAGTCTTTGGTGCCATCAATGCCAAGCCCTCCTCTTTATCAGAATATCCACTGCCTAGCCACCCCCTATTCTAAATCAAATGACCAACTTCACCATGCTACCGCCTTCCCTGAGAGCTGTTTTTATTCCAGGAGACAATTCCTAGCTATGGCTATGTCCACATGACAGAAGTAGGTTTGAGGACAAGGAAGAAAAAAAATTTAGGAAGAATAACAAAAACCACTACTGCCACCTCCACCACCATGCCAACAACAAAATGTCATTACTTGAGAATATTCTAGGTTTAAAAAGCCATGGGTATTGCTCAAGGCAGACATATACTATTTGGCTTCCTCAGTGGGAGTAATTTGTATTTATTTTTAAAAGAAAAAAATAAATTACACAACCTGGAGCATTTGTCAGGGTAATATGTATGTTATCTCTGTCATTCCCAACCTTACATCAGCCTTATTGTAGCCTGCACAGCTGCTAAATCATTATTCTCTGCATGAGTAATTGTTGCAGATGCTCTTACTGATTAACTTTGGGTATGGGTATATTTATGGTGAGCCTCTGTGTGGCAGCTGGGATCACAAAATTGCCGAGAAATCATAGTGCGCACCTAGTGATGTTATTGGATAAAGGGCATGGAAAAGAAAAAAAAATTAAGGCTACAGTAGCATGGTAAAATCAAGGTTTAGAGAATTTGGAGCCAGTTTGTTGATACTCTCTCTTTGGGTAGCCCTTCTTCTGAGAGCATAGCTTAATTTTCCTGTCCCCCACTCCCACCCCTTCAGCATTAGTTTTCTCATTTTTCATTTGGACACTCTATACATTTCTGATACCTTTTGTCCTTTCTGTTTTCAGCCCAGAAGCATCAGCAAAATCCCCATTATTCCTTGTTTTTCATCCTTCTGTGCAGTGACCCTCTTGCCAATTTGGTCTTGGCATTTTCTCATGTTTGGGGATTGATTATGCTGGGAACATTATTTCCAACTGTGGTCACAGATAAAAAAAAATTAGCAGTGTCAATCCACTTTCTCAAAAGAAGGGAAGACCAGTAAGAGAGCGGGAAAGTGTGTGAAAAGGCAGAGGTAGGGAAGCATGAGGCCCACTGGAGAGAAAGTGAGTATAATGGTCTAGCTTGACAAGAGAGTTTCTGTTTGGAATCCAGGGTGAGGAGCTTGGATTTGATCCTGTAGGCAATGATAGCCAAAAAGAGTTTTGGAGTTGGTCAGAGAAATGTGTCAATCTTAGGAGTTTTAGAAGGCCCAGAGATTAGAAACAGAGATACTAATGCTTGGCATAACTAAATAACACTGCATTAGAACCCATGTTCTACTACTATTAGCTTTATGACCTTAGGAAACTTGTTGAAATTTTCTGTTCTTCAGTTTTTTCAGATCTATAACATGAAAGGGCTAGACAAGAAAATTTTAAAAGTTGGTTTTAGGTCTAAAAGTCTCTGTCACCAAGTTGGATATGCCACTGCAATATAATTAAGGACTGACTAATGAAGACACATTCTTTAGAGCATGGGCAAATATTCCCTGTGCACTTCCAATTAATGTACAATCTTGGTGACCCTGCTTTGAGACACCTTTAATGCAACTCCTCCACTCCTCCAGCAACTTTTGAGCATGTTCAAGTATCTCTATTTCCTGTTGGCTTACTGCCAAGTCTAGCACTCTATTTCTTATACCATACTCCCTAAGTCCCTTTTATGAAACATCAGGAGAGGAATGCTATCACTCCCGAACTCCAAACCTTTTGGTAAAAGGTTATGGTTTAAAGTAATTGATTTCATGTAGCTCATGGGATCATAATTTAGAACTGTAAGAGATCTTTGGAGTTACCTAGTTCAACCCCCTCATTTTATTGATAAGAAAACTGAGGTCCTCACATTGGATTAAATGTCTTGCCAATGTCACACAAGAATTAAAGTGACAGCAGGATTCAAACTCAGGTTCTCTAAGGTCAGATTCAGTGTTCTTTCCATTGTGTGGTGATAGGAATGTTTTACACATTAGCTCTTGGGTCATTAGTATTCTGCTAAGAATTCTAGATTCAGGGATATCATAACAAACCTATCTTCTGCCTTCCTGCTTCAACCATGGCATACCCTTGTACTGCCTTCCCACCACTCAAATTGCTGCTTTTTTTCTTCTACTCCACAGTCACTTCTGCATATGTTCTTACCTTGGAATCCTCTTTTATAATAAAGAAAAAAAACATTTAAGTAGAGCCAACTAAAAAAAAACTAATTCTAGGAGGATAGACAATATTCTGTGTTGATAACCCCATCCTTCCTATTGTATAGAAAGCATGGAAGTATGTTATCATCTGTTCTCTTGGTCCAATTTTGGTCATTACAATTAATTTTAGTTTTCCTTACTTCTAGTGTTATTTTCATTTATATTGTTATAGCCCTCATCTATTTGTTCTCCTGTTTCTCCTTTTTGTTTCACTCTGAATCAGTTTATATCTTCTCATCTTTCTCTAAATTCTTTATATTCATCATTTAGACACAATGATATTTGAATTTATCACAATTTATTTAGCTATCTCCCAATCAATTGTAACCTGCATTTTTTCTCCTATGAAAGTACTGCCATTAATATTTCAGTATTTTATGGAACCTTTCTTTTTGTATTTTGGTTTCCTTATTGTATCCTGAAGTTGGATTCCTTGAATCAAAGGGACTAGTCACATTTATCAAAAGAATTCCCCATTATTGTCCAGATAGATTGGTGCAATCCAAAGCTTCTGCAATAGTATTTTAGTATGTTCGTCTTGTTATAGCTAACTCCAACACTTCCTATTTCAATTTTTTTATTTTTACAATCATCTTTGTCAATTTGATGTAGACCTGATTTTTTTCTGATTTCCCCTTCCATGTGCTTCTCCATTTTTTATCTTCCTTTGCCAAATTTGCACTGCCTGATTTAACTCCCATGGCATCAAAAGCCTTCCAGAATTCTGACATCTCAGTGCTTGCCTTGCAGTAAACAGCAGCTTCCTTGACTCAGAAATGTGAGCACTTGGTATCATGTTGGAGACCTTCCATTAAGGGCAGCCTATCCCTATTATATCTACTTAGGTTTTCTTCAAAAATATTTGACACATGAAACATGTGGAGAAATTATCAAACACCAAAGTGCCACCAAAATGCTAAGCAGGCATAGATTGGAGAAGGGATCAGGACTGTGATGTTCAGTGGTAAGTCAAAGGATAGAGCTGAATTCAGCCTGTGTGCACTTGGCAGCCTGGCTTATAGAAGAAGCAGCAGCTGCTCTAGTCTGTGGGACTCCCTCTGGGCACTGGGATTTCAGTTTGTATCCCAGTGAGCTCTTCCAACCCTGTGGGTTAATCATTTAATTCAGGCCCAATCCTCAGAAACTGGCCCACTGCCTCTGTTCAAGCAGCCATCCTTTCGCAGACATGCTTTGCCTGTGTTGCCCATTGGGCAACCTTCCTGTGTTATTTACGTTCTATGTCATGGGCCTGGTTTGTTGGCATACTCTTCTCTCGACATAATCTCCAGCTTTGATGTCCTTGCCTCATGTGAGGAGTCTCATAAATTTGGCTGATGGCATTTTCAGTTTAGAGATTAAGAACCTATGAAAGAGGAGGAGACAGGTAATTGTCATCACTGGGTAGCAAGTGAATGCCATTATGGAGAGCTAACAGTTCCTTTGGCACCATCTAAGTGAACTGAGAAAAGCTTGCCAGGTAATAACGCAAGTGACTGCACCTGAGCAGTTAAAAAGTCTATAGCTTGTGAAATGCACTATATTTCATTATGTTGCAAAGAGTCTAGTTTGGGGCTGCAGATACTGCTTGTATCTTTCTATACATTAACCAAGGAAAGAAACAGCTAATATGGTTGAAGTGATGTCTGAAGGTATTAGTGAGTGCTTTAGGTAATTGAGACCTTGAAAGATAAAGGTGAACACCAAGAATAAAAATAGAGATTACTCTTTAGATATAGGAAAATGTATCTTTTGTGATATCTATATTAATAATTGGCATTGACACAATGAATCTATATTATAGTGTACAGTATTCTAATATTTTTTGGCATCTTAGATAGATCAGCAAATGATTTTATTCTAAAGATAGAAAAAAAGTGTTTCTCAAATAATAACCTAAATCTTGGCTCAGGAAACCTTTGAAAACCCAAGAACTTTTGCTCACAGTTTGAGAGCTGGAAAGGACCCTCAGATAATCAAAATCTTAAAATTATTTTAAATAGAGGAGGAAATTGAGGCCCAGAAAGTGTGAATAATGTCACCCAAATCACATAGGTAATACATGGCATAGCAAGATTCCAGCCAAGGTCTTTTGACTCTAATACAGTTCACTTTTCACTGTAGTATGTTGCTTCTCCCTTCCCTTTTTCTCCCCTCTCCTCTCATCCTCTTCAATCAGTACTGCTTCCTTTCTTTCATCACCCTACTTTCCTCCTCAAATCCAAATACTGGTCACCAACTCCAGCCAACCTGGCCCAGAAGACCCACCCATCTGCCAAGCCTCAGAATACTGGAGGCAGGCTGCCAGCCACTGTTTGCTTTGTCTTTTTTAGCCTTAGAAATAGGAAGGGCTCATGGAGAACAGATGGGTCTTCTCCTTTATGTCACTGACCATGGCCTTAAGCAGGCCTGCCTTGCTAATAGTGAGGAAATAAACAACCTTCTGACCATCTTCTTCCCAGACTCATGAATCATAATTATGTAGCTTGAACAACTCATAAAGAACTTTGTGGCTGAACAGTTTGGGTGTTTTGATGCAACAAGATTCAGTCCCAAACTCCTATTAATAGTTGGTTCTTTGGACTCATATACCTTGATAAACACTGTGCCTTTTCTCCTGGGATGCCACTATTACTGAATTGCTTCAGCAGTGTTTTGTCTTCTGTTCTAACTTGAAAAAGATTTAGTTTCAGTTGTTTCTAGTCCAGTTTAATGGAAACATAAATCCTAGTTGGAGAAATAGGAAATAAAATTAAATTTCGGCAACAAAACTTGCTGGAGCAGAACTTTCTATAAAATGTTGATTTTCTCATTTTTTTAAACAAACAACATACTGCCTTCATAATTTGACACATGCAATTTTGTTTTCAACATTTATATATTGTCTTTTGTGGGGATAGGTAACAGCCGGTTTATTTAAAAACAACAAGAACAGCAACTATTGATAGTATTTTTTATAACATAATAATGACATACAGAAGAAACAAGCACATTGTGTTAATTAATCAGTATTGTCTGACACTTTCCTGCTGCTTTTTCAGAACACATTTGAAAGTGTTTGTGGGATCCATTTCAGCTAAAAAAAATCAGCTTTGAAAAAAGGTTATTTCATTTTCTTTTTCTTTTTATCTATTAATAATTTCAACCAGACCCTCCTATTTACTATTGTGATTCAATTGATAATATAGCACCAATATAATTGGAGAACCAACCTTAGTGTCATAGGCTGCATTTTAAGTTTTTATTCTAATTTTGATAGCTAACCATACTCTGATTTCCCTTCATCTGGACTACTACCTTTCAGGCCCAGTAATATTACTCCATGTTAATGCATTCTCCCTCCCCTCCACCAGCTGCTTTCTGATTCTTACAACCTGTTTATGTTCAACCTTGATTCAAATTATTTTTTTCCAGCCCCTGTCTGAAATTCTTTCCACAACAAGCTAATATTAAATATAAGGCAGACACCATAGGTTTGCAGAAAAGAAAAAAAAACCTTAAAACAGAAATGAGGAATAAAGTATCAAGAAAGTACATTAAATAGCAAATGCTCTTAAAGCCCATTTTCCAAGACAATGAAATTCCCAAGCTCTGTCTTTCAACTCTAGTCCTTTAATGTTGTATAATTGGGGAAAAAAACCCAAAAAACAAAACAAACAAACAAATAAACAAAAATTGGCCTTGAATCAGAGCACTTGGGTTTTCTTGCCCCTTTTCAAGGGTTTCCCCCTTTTTCATTTCATAAATACCTTTGACAGCGTGATGAAGCCTATGAAAGCCTCAGAAGAATGTTTTTAAATGCATAAAACATGCAGAATTATTAAAGAAACCAATTATATTGAAATACAATGATGTAAGTACATACACACATACACACTCACATATATTTAAAACCAAGTTCATGGTTACAGATCAAGAACCCATAACTTTAGTTCCAGAATTCTCCTGAGATCTGAAAGGTTAGACTTCAGGCACACTTACCTGGGACCAACTCATACTTCAGGGCTAGATGATCAGAGTATGGCATTGGAGATTCAGATCATGACCAACTATGTGTCATCAGCCTACCATTGTCAAATGGGCCCTGGCTACATAGGTTCAGCCCTCTCTTGCCTGTCCATTGGTATCCCTCCAATTCTTGATACTTAGCTCGCTCCTCTCTTTCAGTCTGGTATTTAGGTAAATGAACATGTTCATCAGAGTGATAAGGATGACTGGAGTGGTATTTTTGATAACTGGCTATCATGTTCCCCATGTAGTTCTTTCTGAATAATTTTATGAAAATAACCTCCTTCTCTGCTTTATGCCTATCATTGCTAGGGCAGCATCAGAATTTTTGCAAAGATAATCCTATATAATCTGAGAGTACCAATAATCCCTTGGCAAAGAGCTACACCCCCCAATTAGGTATAATCCCTACCAATTTCCCAATGATGACAATCACTTGTGCCAGACAAATTAGGAGTTTGACAAATAAATGCACGACAGAATATCAAAGAGTGCCCAGTGCTGTTCAAGGAAAGCTAGCATTTGTTGTCCTGAGAAAATGGATGACTCTACAATCATGGACTCCAAGGGCAGTAGAGCTATTGCTGGGGAGGGCATGGGAGGTACTGTTTGAATAAACTGCACGGCATCCTGTGGAGCTATGATTTTCATCATTGCCCATAATTGTTGTACTCTTTTCTCCAGGGAGACTCCAGCATGCTGTGAGACCTGGCACCTGAATTCTTTTTCACCCATACTTCCTGTGTGCAGCAACTTGGTCTGCAATTCTCCGTAATAATGGGATTTTTCACCCTCACAGCAGCTCTGTGGGTATCAGTACAATGGGAAGAATAAGCAATAAACCCTGAAATAATAAAAGTCTAAATTTCCATGTTGAGATAAAGAACTGGATTTATTGCTTTTTAAAAGGATTGAATTTTTATTAATGTTACACATCTTCTCTGTCAAACCTGCCTCACCTTTTTATATTAAAAATATATTTTTTTCAATTAATAAATAAAATTTCCCTCCCACCCCACTCTTGCTGGTAAAAACAAAGAAAAGCAAAACCCTCATAACAGATATTTACAGCCAAGCAAAATAAATTCACACATTAGTACTATTCAAAAATGTATGTATTCTACATGTTGAGTCCATTACCTCTCTGTTAGGTGATGGGTAGCATGCTTTTATGGAGACATCAAATGTAGAGATTATTGCTGCTGTCAATACTCCAAAGCCAAGATAGCAGATTAAAATGCAATTGGGAAATATTTAACAAAATACATAAAAATGCAACATTGTAACATTACATTTTACAACTAAGTCAATATGCAGTCTACAGGAATCTTTATATATTGATCAGTGCCCCCTGTTTCTATTTGAGTTTGACACTATTGTCTTAGGAGGTGGGTAACATTCCTTCTCACCAGTCCTTTAGAATCATGGTTGGTCATTGCACTGATAAGAGTTCTAAAGTCTATCTACTTTGTTCATTTTTACAATGTTTTGGTATTCTTTAAGTTTTTTTCCTGGTTCTGTTCACTTCACTCTGTATCCATTTATACAAGGGAGAGTCAGAATTGATAATCATTTATTGAACGCCTATTATATCACAGGCACTATGCAAAGTACTGGGGATAGAAAGACAGTTATAAGACAGCCTGTGCCCTCAAGAATCTCAGAATCTAATGGGGGAGACAGGTATATAAAGAATTTGAAGGTGGAGGGGGAAGGAAGAGAAGGTAGGGAATGATCTGAGGATGTGGGAGTTTCTGAGTTTATTTCATCTTGCAGAATGATGAGTTTCTAGAGATGATGATATCCAAGAAAGCATCTGGATAGGAAATGATGAGGAGAATTCCTTAGGTGCCACCCTTAAATAGTGGAGCATTTTGGGTATCACTTTCCTCATCTATTAAATTTTGTTGTTGTTGTTGAGTGGTGTTTGGCAAGTCATGACCCCATTTGGGGTTTTCTTGGCAAAGATACCAGAGTTGTTTGCCATTTCCTTCTCCAGCTCATTTAACAGATGAGGAAACTGAGTCAAACAGAATTAAATGATTTGCCTGGGGTCACACAGTGTCTGAGGCCAGATTTGAACTCATGAACATTAGTCTTCTTGATTCCAAGCGCAGTGCTCTATCTGCTGCTCTGCCTAATTGCCCATATCTATTAAATGAAGGGGTTCAATTAGATGATCTCTAAGGTCCCTTTTAACTCTGATTTTTAGGATCCTATTAACTCTAGGAAGTCTACGGTAGGAGCTTAGTTCTTTTCTGCAGTAACACCATTCTCTATTCCTTTTTTGTTCCAGTTTCTCTCTTTCTTTCTCTGTCTAAAATGTAGGTCTTCAGGCTTGCCAACATTCCTTGGTATAGCGTACACTTATACTTCAGTAATCAGCCAGTATATTCTTGCTGAACAACCATGTGCAAGGTATGGCTTAGTGAGCTGAGTTGGCCTCAGAGTCTAGAAGGTTTAGGTTCCAATCCTACTTCTGATATGATTGGCTTTGTGACATTGTATAAGTCATTTAATTTTCTGTCACCCACTCTATCCTCTAAAACTGTAAATCGTAGAACAAGTGCTGATCCCTATTGGTAGAGGGAATTTCTTCACTAGAATATCCCCATGTAAATGAAATCATGAGTTTTGTCTAAAAAAAATACAGTATTAAACCTAATAAAATAGTTTGTGCAAGGTAACTCTGAAGGGCACAAAGAATGACAAGACACTTCACTCAGAGCTTTCAATCAAGTTGGAAATAAGATATATATACATATGAAAATGTAACTGGCAATACAAAAATAATGATATGTGCCAAGTGAGTCATATAGATGATAAATACTATGACTTTCGAAGGAGGAATAGATCCCCATGTGCTGTAGCAGTTAGAGCTGGGCTTTATAGAAGAAGTAGAATTTGAGGCAGGCCCATAGTCGAACCATCCTAAGGCAAGCCGCACAGTTGGTGTGACATATAAAAGGTCCAAGAACCAGAGTTTCTGAGTAATTAATCATTTTATTAATCATGCTAGTGGATAATTAATAAAAGGGGTCAGTAGCACTCTCGAATGCCAAAAATCCCTCCTGGAACCCAATCAATGTTTATATGCCCTTGGAAGAGTAGGTGTTCCTGAGGGTGGTGGTCAACTCTGATTGGTTAACAATTAATGAGAAGAATGAATATTATAAAGAGAGGTAGAACTATTCTAATGAAGGGCTGGTGACTTGGATCACCCAGATCTGTAGGACTACAACACAGTGGACTAGATTTCACCTAGATTAGATTAAATTCTTTGTAAGGTCCTCTAGTTGGGAGGGGTCTCCCACCAAGGATCAAAAGGTGTGTACCTCTGGGATTTGGGCAATTCCATCTATCAACAATGTCCTTCAGAGACAGAAAAACCTACAGGTTTTTGAAAAAAATTCCTGGTCTTAATTAATAATTGTTTATTAATATAAGGGAGAAATAAGCATTTCTGTCATTGGGTAGGTGCTATAGTGCTTGCTTTCCATCCTTAGCCACTAGGAAGGCTATCTGTTGTATTCAACCATTTTCTTTCTACACTGACATCTTCAGTTTACACAATTCTGGCTATGAGAGCTCAATATGGGAAAGATGTTAAACCCTGAAGATCATTGCAAATCATGGAAGACCTATCTTCCACTAAGAGTATTATTCTTCTTACCCTGTGTCTGCTACTCTATTCCCATTGTTTTACATTCTCTTGACTGTTGGCAATCAGAGGGTAGAAATTAATTTCAATTCAAGGAACGTTAAATACCTGCTAACTGGGAAGGCTCTGTTTCAGGTACTCCAAAGTCCAAAAATAATTTTAAAATCTCTACCTTCAGGGTACTTAACATTCTACTCTAATATGAGATACAACACTTAAATGTACACATAAATGCTTTTTAATTTGAGGCAAGAAAGCTTAATAAGTGGGGAATCCAGGAAGTCTTTATGTTGGAGGTGGTACTGGAAATGAGTTTTGAAGAAATCTATCTGAATGAATGAGTGAATGAGTAAAGCATTTATTAAGCATTTCCTGTGTGCAAAGCACTATGCTAGGCCCTGGGGATACAAATAGAAAATTAAATCAATCCCTACTGTCAAGGAGTTCATATTCTAATGGGGGAGACAACATATTTAAATAGTTTGGCTGTAATTCATGTGGAAATATTTTATGGTCCTTAGGTACAGTGGCAAAGAAGAGAGTAATACCCCTTCTTGAATGCTATTTCCACTAATAAATCATGTCAGTTTCCTGTGTTGAACCATTTGACAGTGCTGAAGACTTTGGTGGTGAGAACTTTGTTTTCTGGGCCTTTGGTAGCTGTGGCTGGAGCACCTACAGGAACACTTATCAGGCTACATCTTCATAGATGTTTCTTCTCAGGATGAGAGCTAAGGGCTCCTGGTTGTAAAGAGTGCCACTTCCAAGTATCTTGTGTTCAGGGTCCTGGGGTATCTCCATTAGGATCAGAAGACAAATGGTGGCCAAGGTGGTTTGACTTGCCTAGTATATGCAGCCTCCAGTTTTTCCTTCAAGGTGCCTGGATGCTTGAGCTAGCTGCCTTGTCTGGCCTTGTCTGTGGCCAACAATTCAGCAGTTGGTAATGATGACTGGCTCTTTCTGCATAGGAATTACTTCCCAGATGATGGCTGTGAGGGCTGGGTTGGAAGCTGGACAAGATGTAGAATATGTGACAGGAGTAATGTGAAGGAAATTTGGAAAGGTAAGCTGGAGTTAGACTATGAGCACCTTTAACTGTCAACCTAAAGAGTTAGTATTATGTTCTATAGGCCATTGAAGAATACAGAGCAATGGGATGACATTGTCAGAAGTGTGCCTTAGAAAGATAATTTTAGACACTGTAAAGAGAAGTGGAGAGCTGAAAGAGTAGAAACAAGAAGTTAAATTAGGAGACTGTTGAAATTGTTCATATGAGAAGTGTTGCGGCTTGATCAGCAACAATGTATTTGGAGAGAAGGAAAGGGATGAAAGAATCAACAGGACTTGCAAAGTGATTGGATTTGGGTAGTGTGTGAGATTGAAGAGCTGTGGAAGATTCTGAAGTTGTAAGACGGAAGAAAGGTGTTGCCCTTGACAGAAATGGGAGAGGTAAAAAATGGGTAGGTTTTGGGTGAAAGTCAATGATTTCAGTTTTGAACATGTGCTTGAGGTGCCTATCGGGCATCTAGGTAAGAGACATATAGCAGGCACTTTTTTAAAGGCAGGAATAGAGCTCAGAAGAGAGATGAAGTCTGGATATATAGGTTGTTAGAGTTATTTAACATAATAATGGAACCCAGGGGAGTGGATAATAGTATCAAGAGGGAAGGTACAGAGCGTCAAGAGAGGATTCTAGGATACATAGGGCCTAAAGCATGAAGGAAGATTCAGTACAGACAACACGGAAGGAATGATTGAAAAGGTCGGAGAGAAACCAAGAGAAAGTAGTGTCATGAAAACATAAAGAAGGTAAAACATCCAGGAAGAGGGGCTGTTGGCCAGTGTCAAGCACTACAGAGAGGTCAAGAAGGATGAATATTGAGAAATGATCTTAGAATTTAGCAATTAAGAAGTCATTAATATGCTCTGTAGGGATACTTTCAGTGAAGTGGTGAGAAGTCATGTAAGGGGTTGAGAAGGTCAGGAGATGGAGGCATTAAATGCAGTAGATAAAATGTTCTATTTGGTAATGAAAGGAGAAAGTGATATATGAAGATAGCTTGAGGGGCTGGCAGGG